AATAAAAATCAGGTCCCACCAAATCGATAAGTAACTAAAAATGATAAACTAATATTATTTACGCAGCAAAAAAAAAAAAAAAAACGTTTATCGATTAATCGGTTTTTCATTGAGACGCCAGTGAGTTTTACTTTTATCAATTTTTCATTTCTGTTTTTATATTAAATGTGTTGTCTCCTGTTGCACATTTTTACGGCTTCTTCGTGGAGTGTTGAATTTTTGAAAGTGTCTTCGAGGTAGTTTTTTTTTTTAATGATTCTTGGCTTGCTAGCTCGATACATTTTAACAATTCCGGACAATTAACAATTACACCACCCGTATATTTAAGCATACGACAAGCTTACGACATTCCCAAATGACCAGGCCCGACGATTGTACGGGAACCGATGTTTCAACCTGATATGGCCGTAAAAAATGACACTATTTATACTGGAACTATTGTCCTCATCTTTTTTGTTGTTATCACAACGTTTCAACCGTTGTGTCCTCCAGCCTTCATCAGTTGTTATTGATCTGCGTAAGTTACAGGGGATCTTGAATTGGACCTATTATTTAATCTACGAGGATAGAATGTTCTTTTTTAAATAAGTAGGGAGATCTTGTCTAATTCTTATTTTTAGTCCTGCTCAGTTATTACTCACCCTGTTTCTAGTGGGTTCAAGTACACACTACCCAGCCCAGGGTTTGAACTCACAATTACTATGAACCAATAATATGAACCAGACGATACCCTTAGACATGAGCAGTAGAACGTGAACAGTACATCCCCATAGATTAAATAATGGTTTCACTACGGAATTCCTTCTTGGTTATCCAGATCAATTACTCCTGATGAAAGCCGGCAGGCACAACGGCCGAAACATTATGATAACTACAACAATAACGTAGTCCAAATATAAATTGTGTAAAGTCTTATGTCTACATTACGTTGAAACACCGGCTCACGTACGATCACCGGAGTTAAGCAAAATCAAGCCTGGGCGGTACCTATATGGGTGACAGTTGGTGTATAACAGGTGCGGCAAGATTTGATGTGCGGGTGGTGTAATTGATAATGGCTCGGAATTGTTAATCGGAGAGCTGAGTTCCAATTCACGCTGGGTTCATCATATTTACTTACGCGCAAATACCCGGTCGGAAAGGTATGAATCTACATATTCGCCTCCAGCTATGGGTTAAATAATATTTAGACTCGAACGGTGGTGTCTCCCAAGGCTCTATCCTTTCTTCTACGCTGTTTCGGATCTTCATAACTGACCTTCCTCGTGTCATCAGTTTTCAACTAGGTATTTATTCAAATGACAATATCATTAACTGTTGTCTCAATAGCAAATCCCTCAGAGACGACGAAGTAAACCTGACCGCGACGACTGAAAATGACCTCTAATCAGTGGTTAGCTGGGACAGGAAATGGCTTGTAAATTTTAACGCCTCCAAAATAAAAATGCTTTCGATTAACCACCATAGAGGACCTCACCGACGGTTAAATGGCGAATTTCACCCCAAGGAAAGCAGTACATCGACTTGGACACAACGGGTGTGGGAGAATTAGAAAACAGAAACATTACGAAAGAGCGAGAACCAAAGAGTAACAAGGATGACAGTATGAAGCGATTGATAAATTGAAATTTTTGAAGATTAAAGTTGGCTGAAAAGTATGCAGCTGGAAGGGTATTCCACAAACGAGAGGTGAGAGAAAAGAAACTTCCGGTTACATCTAACCAAATTTAGGTGAGAGAAAAGAAACTTCCGGTTACATCTAACCAAATTTAGGTGAGAGAAAAGAACTTCCAGGTTACATCTAATCAAATCTAGGTGAGAGAAAAAAAACTTCCGGTTACATCTAACCAAATCTAGGAGAGAGAAAAGAAACTTCCGGTTACATCTAACTTAATCAAGGTGAGAGAAAAGAAACTTCTGGTTACATCTAATCAAAGCTAGGTGAGAGAAAAGTACTTCTGGTTACATCTAATCAAATCTAGGTGAGAGAAAAAAAACTTCCGGTTACATCTAACCAAATTTAGGTGAGAGAAAAGTACTTCTGGTTACATCTAACTTAATCTAGGTGAGAGAAAAGAAATTTCTGGTTACATCTAATCAAAGCTAGGTGAGAGAAATGTACTTCTGGTTACATCTAATCAAATCTAGGTGAGAGAAAACAAACTTCCGGTTACATCTAATCAAATCTAGGAGAGAGAAAAAGTTACATCTAATCAAATCTGGTTACTGGTTACATCTAATCAAAGCTAGGTGAGAGAAAAGAAACTTCTGGTTACATCTAATCAAAGCTAGGTGAGAGAAAAGAAACTTCTGGTTACATCTAATCAAATCTAGGTGAGAGAAAAACTTGGTTACATCTAAACTAGGAGAGAAAAGAAACTCTGGTTACATCTAATCAAATCTAGGTGAGAGAAAAGAAACTTCTGGTTACATCTAATCAAAGCTAGGTGAGAGAAAAGTACTTCTGGTTACATCTAATCAAAGCTAGGTGAGAGAAAAGTACTTCTGGTTGCATCTAATCAAAGCTAGGTGAGAGAAAAGTACTTCTGGTTGCATCTAATCAAAGCTAGGTGAGAGAAAAGAAACTTCTGGTTACATCTAATCAAATCTAGGTGAGAGAAAAGAAACTTCTGGTTACATCTAATCAAAGCTAGGTGAGAGAAAAGTACTTCTGGTTACATCTAATCAAAGCTAGGTGAGAGAAAAGAAACTTCTGGTTACATCTAATCAAAGCTAGGTGAGAGAAAAGTACTTCTGGTTACATCTAATCAAAGCTAGGTGAGAGAAAAGTACTTCTGGTTGCATCTAATCAAAGCTAGGTGAGAGAAAAGTACTTCTGGTTGCATCTAATCAAAGCTAGGTGAGAGAAAAGTACTTCTGGTTACATCTAACCAAATCTAGGTGAGAGAAAAGAAAGTTCTGGTTATATATAATCAAAGCTAGGTGAGATAAAAGTACTTCCGCTTACATCTAACCAAATCTAGATGGGAGAAAAGAAAGTTCCGGTTAAATCTAACCAAATCTAGGTGAGAGAAAAGAACTTCCGGTTACATCTAACCAAATCTACCCCAGAGAAGAGCTTATAAAGATATTTATAGAAAAAGAACAGGGAGGCAACTTTATGGCAATGGAAAAATGACTGAAGCCTAGTCGCCAGGTCAAGACCACTAATATTGCTGATTCATCTTGGGATTTTATCAAGGCTCTCTAGATATATGCTGGGAACAAGAGACCATATGTGGCAGCAATATTCTAAGCACGGACGAATGGTAGACTTATAGATATATAAGACAGATTCAGGAGAAATGTCTGCTTATTTTGTTTTTGGTTTCAAACTTTCGTTTTCAATTTCAAGTTATTTACTAAACAATGCTCAGAAAGAGAAACGAAGTTAAATGGATGCTAGGAAGATTATTCAGCGCGCATCTTCTAAATAAGGAAGGTCTACTGGTGCCAATGAAATCCTTACTTTCAGGATACTGTTCCAAAATTATTTAGGATTGCACGTTTGAATCTTGTTGAAGACACCAATCATATGTACAGTTAAAGATATATGCAACAATATAACCAAAAAATTGAAACTACCTATCTCTAGCCGTGTTAATCTCTGTCTGTCTATGTATCTATCTATCTATTGTTGTCGGGCAGTTCATATCTATCTATCTATCTATCTATCTATCTATCTATCTATCTATCTATCAACGTATCAGTGTCTGGCTGTCTATATCAAACCGTTCATATTTCTGCATATACCGATGTGCGTCTATCTATCTATCTATCTATCTATCTATCTATCTATCTATCTATCTATCTATCTATCTATCGACGTCTCACTGTGTCTATATCAAGCCGGTTATATTTCTGTATATATCAGCAGGATTCTATCTATCTATCTATCTATCTATCTATCTATCTATCTATCTATCAACATATCAGTGTCTGTCTTTCTATATCAAACCGTTCACATTTCTGCATATATCGGTGCGCGTCTATCTATCTATCTATCTATCTATCTATCTATCTATCTATCTATCTATCTATCTATCTATCTATCTTGAGGAGTCTTTGCTAGTATCTATCTATCTGTCTATCTATCTATCTATCTATCTATCTATTAGTTAGAAATGCCTACATATATATTGGTGTCTCGACCAAAGGACGAATTGCGCAATGACCATGTTGTACCAAATCTGCTTTACAAATCTGTGTTCGTAATCCTGGCACGAACCTCAGCCACCGGCGTCAATAGCAACACACAGATTCATCTTCCCCACTGAGCAAACTCAGCAGGGATGCGCGCATGCGTTTAGATGCCTGTTGCTGCTTCCTGCTTTCGCGAGAACAAAGGAATAAAGGAAAATCAAACGAACAGAACAGAATAGAAAGAATGAAAAGAAGGAATTATCAGCAGACGACAGAAATAAAATAAAAAGGGAGAAAAAACAGAAGTGGAAAGGCGATTGTAATTTAATAAAGAAAACAAGGGAGAAAAGGAAGAAGAGGAAATTGAAAGAATACTCAGTAAACGAAAGGAAGACAACACAAAAGAAAGAAAGAAGGAAAGAAAGGAAGAAAGAAAGAAAGAAAGAAAGAAAAAGAGGAAAAAGAAAGAAAGAAATAAAGAAAAGGAAAGAGACAGAGAAAAGAAAAACAGACAACAAAATATATTGAAAAAATAAAGAAAGAAAGAAATGATATTGAATATAAAAAGGAAGAAAGAAGAAAGAAAACAAAATATACCGAAAAAGAAAGAAAGATAAAATAGGGAAAGACAACAAAATATTCAGAAAAAGGGAAAAAAGAAAGAAAAAAAGAAAAAGAAGAAAGAACGAAAAATATTGAAAAAGTATAGTAAGAGACTTGTTGATAGAGATAAAAGAAAGAAAAAGAAAAAGAACAATGTATATTGAAAAAGAAAGAAAGAATGAAAAAAGAAAATGAAAATCGATAAAAACGAAAAATGCAAGTACAGGAAAGAAAGAAAAATGAAGAAAATTTACTTAAAAAGAAAAAAAAAAGATACAAACATGCAGATAATAAGAAAGAAAGAAAGAAAGAAAGAAAGAAAGAAAGAAAGAAAGAAAGAAAGAAAGAAAGAAAGAAAGAAAGAGAGAACGTGATAGAGAAGAGAGAAGTAATAGAAAGAAGAGAAATACGCTAAGGTTAACAAAAGAATCCATGACTGTGAGAAGAAAGAAAGAAAGAAAGAAAGAAAGAAAGAAAAGAAAGAAAGAAAGAAAGAAAAGAGAACGTGATAGAGAAGAGAGAAGTAATAGAAAGAAGAGAAATACGCTAAGGTTAACAAAAGAATCCATGACTGTGAGAAGAAAGAAAGAAAGAAAGAAAGAAAGAAAGAAAGAAAGAAAGAAAGAAAGAAAGAAAGAAAGAAAGAAAGAAAGAAAGAGAGAACGTGATAGAGAAGAGAGAAGTAATAGAAAGAAGAGAAATACGCTAAGGTTAACAAAAGAATCCATGACTGTGAGAAGAAAGAAAGAAAGAAAGAAAGAAAGAAATAAAGAAAGAAAGAAAGAAAGAAAGAAAGAAAGAGAGAACGTGATAGAGAAGAGAGAAGTAATAGAAAGAAGAGAAATACGCTAAGGTTAACAAAAAGAATCCATGACTGTGAGAAGAAAGAAAGAAAGAAAGAAAGAAAGAAAGAAAGAAAGAAAGAAATAAAGAAAGAAAGAAAGAAAGAAAGAAAGAGAGAACGTGATAGAGAAGAGAGAAGTAATAGAAAGAAGAGAAATACGCTAAGGTTAACAAAAGAATCCATGACTGTGAGAAGAAAGAAAGAAAGAAAGAAAGAAAGAAAGAAAGAAAGAAAGAAAAGAAAGAAAAGAAAGAAAGAAAGAAAGAGAGAACGTGATAGAGAAGAGAGAAGTAATAGAAAGAAGAGAAATACGCTAAGGTTAACAAAAGAATCCATGACTGTGAGAAGAAAGAAAGAAAGAAAGAAAGAAAGAAAGAAAGAAAGAAAGAAATAAATAAATAAAGAAAGAAAGAAAGAAAGAAAGAGAGAACGTGATAGAGAAGAGAGAAGTAATAGAAAGAAGAGAAATACGCTAAGGTTAACAAAAGAATCCATGACTGTGAGAAGAAAGAAAGAAAGAAAGAAAGAAAGAAAGAAAGAAAGAAAGAAAGAAAGAAAGAAAGAAAGAAATTGTATTGAAAAATGAAAAAAAAGAATCCTGTGGATAATTTAAAAAGAAAAATAGATAGATAGATAGAGAGAGAGATCGATAGATAGATAGATAGATAGATAGATAGATAGATAGATAGATAGATAGATAGATAGAAATAAAAAAATATAAACGAACACAAGTAAGGAATCATAGAAAAGAAGTAAACAAAAGAAGGAGTTTTAAATAAAGGAATGTAAAAAGAAAATTCCCCAAAAAGATAAAAACAAAGACAAAATAAAATCGGGTGTGAAAAATATAAAAACAGATACAAATAACGATTTTGGAGAATAATATGCAGGAAATTAAGGCTAAGAAGAGTATGTTGCGCCAGCATTTTAGTGGCGAGATAAGAGATAAATTTTAAAATTAGCATTGAAATAATGCAAATTGACCTTCGATTACAGAAGGAGGAGGGGTAAAAGGCAGTTGTCTTAGCCGGAGAGCAGAAAATAGACGAGAAAAAAAGTGGTTTGCAAAGAGAAATAAGAAAAGAGAAGTGGGAGGGGTCATAAATAGAAGTCATATAGATAGTAAGAAGTTTCAGTAGATATGTAAAAAGATAGATAGATAGATAGATAGATAGATAGATAGATAGATAGATAGATGGATTGATATGAACATACTGAGATAGATAGATAGATAGATAGATAGATAGATAGATAGATAGATATGAACAGACTGAGATAAATAGATAGATAGATAGATGGACAGAGATAGACAGCTAGCTAGCTAGCTAGCTAGCTAGCTAGATAGATAGATAGATATGAACAGACTGAGATAGAGAGATAGATAGATAGATAGATAGATAGATAGATAGATAGATAGATAGATAGATATGAACAGACTGAGATAAATAGATAGATAAATAGATAGATAGATAGATATTAACTGATTCAGATGCATATATCAGACGCAACTGTTGACTGTATCCGATACATACATAAATATATATATATATATATATATATATATATATATATATATATATATATATATATATATATATATATTAATTTTGTTGAAGAGAAAATATTCATTGAAATAAAAATTTTCAAAAGCATAAAAATCAATCAATAGTGACAGAAAAGAAACATTCCTTCGCTCGACTGATTAATAATCGATTACTCTATTATCAATAACGTGTTTCGGCCTTGGAAAAGAAATTCGTTCTTTTCGTGTTATTTATTTACGCTTCGATTTTTGCCTCTGTTCATTTTATAAAAACGATCGGATTTCTTTTCTCTTTTATTTTATTCTTTTTATTTTGATTTCTTTTCTTTTCGAAAGTAATTTTTTTTTTTTATCCTCGCTTGCAATTGAATTTAACAAGAGTTTCAGCATCTACCAGAGTGTGTCGGCTCTCATCTGGCAAACTCATTGTTTCTGGAAATTTCTCAGCGTGGGTTTCGATTATCGAAACGAGCAGTTCGCGTTTGAGGCACTGAAGAATCTATGAAGGGCTAACCATTTCTGCGTTCTGTCTCGTGAGCAAGAAATTGGGTATTTCACTCTGCCCAGGAATAAAACTAGTACCATGATTTTAACGGCGGGTGGTTTCAACTTTAAATAGAAATCAAGCATATTCACTTTAAACCTAAACCACTTGTTTCTTCTTAAGTTAGCTAAACTTATGTTTATCACGGACACTAATATTGTAAGCCATTATTGGCTTTGGAGAATCCTTTAGAGTACCACGTCCTACATCCGATTCCAGGGTAAGACGATAAACTACGTCCATCAGCAAGGCCTCTGATCAGGAGGTTTTGAGGAGCTTGGAACCACCTCTTAATTGCTGGTGTTTCCAGGTCAACTCTGACCCGGGGTAGTAGCACCTGTTAGGGTCCCAGCTATGGGCAAATAGTTAACCCTGAAACTGAGGTAAAAAGCATTATAAAAGTGTAAAAATATGGTTTAATACCAGAAAAACATTGTAAAAATTATTACCAGAAATAATTTTTTGAAGAAAAAAAATATTACCAGCAATACGTTTTCGGAAAAACAGTACCATCTATACGTTTTTGAAAAAATAATATTACCAGCTATATATTTTAGAGGAAAAAATATTAACAGAAATAGATTTTTGACAAAACAAAAATATTACCAGGAAAAAAAAAGTGTCGGCATTAAATGACCCATTGAGATTTTGATATGCCGTAAAACAAAACAAAACAAGGCGAACCTTTAGAGAACCTGTTTTCAACAGGAATTCTTAAACTCATCTTGGCTGCTAAGTTATATTATGTTTCACACCCGTTTTCCTGATTTTTTTAAACTAACAAGTCAGGCAACAATTAATATTCAATAAAATAGTTTATTTCTTCTTCTTATACGTCTTCATCTATGGGCCGACTCGCATGGCTCTCCACAACTTCCTATCGTAGCTCTTAGTAAGGTTTGTCTTTTTACTATCCCTCCCATTCGCTGTTCTGCTATCTATTTACAGAAAACCGTTATGTAGGCTGATCATGGCTCTCCACAACATCCTCTCCTTTGTAGATCTAAGCTATATTTGCCCCTTCCCCATTACTGTAATACCCACCATTTACACAAGTGCATTATGTCGGCTACACTCTGTTTCATTTTGCTTCTATATATCCTGTGAGTGTCAAATTCTCCAAGCGCTCTTTCCTCATTATGTGCTTTAGAAATTTTATCTGTTTCTTTTTTTTTTCTATATCAGTTATTTTTATTCTATTCATTCATTTACAAAAGATCGTTATGTAGGTTGAACATGGCTCTCCACAACTTCCTATTCTTTGTAGCTCTTTTAACTTTACCCCTATTCCCTGTTCTGCCATCCATATACACAAGACCGTTATCAAGGTTGATCATGGCTCTCCACAACTTCTTATCCTTTGTAGAGCTTAGTAAAATTTGTCTTTTCACTATCCCTCACATTTCAGGCTGTTCATGGCTCTTCACAGCTTCCTATCCTTTGTAGCTCTGAGTAATGTTTGTCTTTTCACGATCCCTTCCAGTCCTGTTCTGCCAACGATTTAAACAAGTTCATTGTGTCGGTTGCTTTCTGATTCACTTTGCCTCTCTTGCCTTCTATATGCCCTGTGAGTGTCAAATTCTCCAAACGCTCTTTCCTCATTATGTGCTTTAGAAATTTTATATGATTCTTTTCTTTCTAAGTATATCGGTAATTTTTATTCCATTTTTCTTGAAACAGCGTCGTTAATCACATGTTTAGTTCATGAAATTCACAGCATCCTTATGCAGAGCCACATCTCTGTTAAATCGAGTCTAATTTTCATTTGTGCTGGGACTGTCCGTCATTCACTGCCATATGAGATGACAGATATAACATAACACTCCAGCGTTATTTCTTTGTCTATAAATATATATTTCATATTTCTTAATACTTTGCTTAGATTTTGGAAGGTACCTTTTACTATCCCAATGAACCTTTACATTTTCGTAATTGCTTCCAGTTCCCAGATTACATTTTAGACGATTCCTCTTGCTGACAATTGTTGTTATATAGGGAAGGTTACTGAATAGAATAATCACACGAAGGTTGGTAACGCACGATAATATTTAGGACAAGAACAGCACATAAAAATTCGCCAACGGCGTTTTGAAGAAGTAGTCAACTGCTAGAAGTGAATTCCACAATGAATTTTCAGCTGTAGGATATCTTATCAACCGCCCCACGCGGTCAGATGTGGCACAAGGCCGAATTTAATGTGGGGTATCCGAACCCGTAGGCACGATCAAAAATTCCCCGTAGACACGGTGTAAAACCGTGTCGGGTAGCTGCTTCCCGAGACGAGAGTCTGCCCTTCGACATAAACTTGTCTGGAAATCCTCTCTACTCGGAGGCAGAGAGTTTGACCAGCACAGCGGGTAACGAATCTCCACCTGAAGATTCACTACAGTATTTATGGGAATGGGGAAATAGTATACGCATTATCGTGCATAGGTATGCTACAACAACAACCATCTGTTGTCTTCTTATAATTCATAGTTATTTCTTTGTCCTCTTTTTTCGTTTATATATATATATATATATATATATATATATATATATATATATATATATTATAAATTAATTGATTTAAAATGTTTTTCGCTACACAGTTCTAACCATGTTTCAAAAAGTGGTACCTGAAAGCTTCGAATTTAATTTTGTAATTAAATTAAAGACATTAGTTCCATTTCATCCTCAAGCGAATTTTGGGGTAACTTTTAAAAATACTGGGTTTTAAAGACACACCAAAAATCATAATTCACGTTTCCAAGGTCTTTAATTTAATTACAAAATTAAATTCGAAGCTTTCAGCTTCCATTTTTGAAACATGGTTAGAACTGTGTAGCGAAAAAAAAACATATTTTAAATCAATTAATTTATAATATTAATGCTCTGCAAATTTACATTGAGCCCTTTTTTGTAAAAATAAAAATATCTATAAGAACACCGGATTATATATCTTACTGTTCTTTCTTTTTATATATATATATATATATATATATATATATATATATATATATATATATGTTTTTTAATCTCATATAATAAATACTATTAGGCACTGCTCTTTATTGAGCCCTTTATAAAAAAATGAAATGCTACAGACAGTGGAATCATACTCCATCCATCCTATATATATATATATATATATATATATATATATATATATATATATATATATATAATCATTTGAGGAACACTACCATATCTGTCTTGAAAAAAAACATTGATGATGATATTGTACTAATGCCGAAATTACTAGGAATAAATAATATGTATCAACACAATAATTTTTCTCTCTTCCTGTAATAATGACACCAAAAGCTTGTCCTTGAATACGAAAGAATCAAATTAAGAATAAGTTGACAAAACTTGTCTTAATTATTCAATGAGCCACGCAAACACACACACACACACACACACACACATATATATATATATATATATATATATATATATATATATATATATATATATATATATATATATATACACGTATTTAAAATAGACGTCTCATTGAAAACATTCTGCCAAAATATTTACTCTTCGAGGGAAAACTATGTCCAAAAGGATATTTGGAATTTGAACCATAATAAAATATCAAGTTGGCATTATGGGTGTTCCTACCGTAATTCCAAGACAATTTTGATTGGATACTGACGGGAAAATCCCATTTCACTTTTTGCATTTCTTGACACGAAAATTAAATCTTATTTTTTCAATGTCTGTCAATATCGAAATTATATGGAACTTTTAAGGAAACTATTCGTTCTGATTTAAATAATAAAAAAAAAACTTTCTCGAAGGAAGAAATTTTACTTACCGAATCGAAACAAGAGGTAATAATGTTATCAGGGAACATGTTTCTGTAAAGAGAAGAAGAAAACGAAGATAAATACATTTATCTCTTTATATAACCTGTGATTTCATAGGCATGATTTATCAAAGAAATAATGTCTTTGTTTTCGTTAGAATAATTACAATAATTATTAACACAGCAAAATCTAACCAGAGAGAAACAAATAAAACGAATGATCACGGTTTTATTTAAGCGCTGCCTGTATTTGACCTCGGCTTTCTTTGACGCTGCCCAAGTATTATATCACTAACCCAAAATTCCATTGCAGAGTTTTAGCCAGTTTTTAGCATTAATTCTTTTATGTGCTCTGTCCCTTAAAAAATGGGTGATCATGGCGTCCACAACTACCCATTATTTTCAGCTCTTAGCCCACTCTTTGTTTTATTAAACGTTTTAGGTAGATTACTCACTGTTTCACTCGGTCCCTTTTGCTTTCAGTATACCCTGAGAGTGTCAAATTCTCCAAACACTCTTTCTTCATCAACTTTTCGCTGTTTAGTTCTTTGAAATACCTGCAAATATTCTTGGAAAAGGTATGAATTCATCTCTCCCTCCCCCAAGCTATGGGTAAATAATATTGTGTCCGAAAGTCTTTGGCTCCAACCGGTCAAAGAGAAGGACGAACCAAAATTCAAAATTCAATATCGTAGATGAATATTTATAGATACACCTATGGGTAGGGCACCTCGGCGTGGTGTAATGGTTAGCATGCTTATTTCGCTAGAACAATTACGACTGTATAGTGAGTTCGATCCTCACCGGGTGCCTCCTACATTTGGCTTTGTGCCACATCTAAGCTACACTTGGAAAATCACTATACCTTTCGATAAATAGTCGGGGAGACTGAGATTTTCAGGTTTAAGTGAAAACCAGTCTAACTGATTGTTTTCCTCTCACCATTGCTCAGTTAGGAAGCCGTAGAGAGTTTGACACAAAATGATTTTTAACCTGTTCTCTTTCTAACAGAAAAACACAAAGACTTTTTCTGTTGTTCTTTGGAGAAATGGAGTCAAAATGGCTAAACATCATATCTGAAAACTCAATTATTTTAGTGTTTTTTTTTTTGTTTTTTTTTTTTTAGATATTAAACATTTTGTACGACGGACAAATATCCCATGCTGTTACACGATTTGGACAATTTTGCGGTTACAAAAGGTATCTTCTGACCTTTAAGATTAGATCGTCTATTGTGTGTGTATGTCACCACAAAATGTATCCTTTCCGGTTACATCTTAAATGTATTAGACATCCGACAACATTCATATTTCTCTCATTTAAACCGTCTTTGACGCACCTCTCTAAAACTTCTCTCTGTTAAGTTTTAATCTCCCACCTTCTTTCGTCTGTTACCCCTCTCTTTAGCTCTAACATTCATCCCACACTCTCATACTTACACTCTCTCTAAATGTTATTCTTTATTCCGGAAGTTATTTTTTTCTGATTTCTTTCTGAATTTGTAGGTTTGTGATGAATTGGATCGTAATTACGATTCCAATGGAATAAATTATGACCATGGAATATTAGTGTTTAAGCCTTTTTATTATATCCTTACTCTGTCCTGGACATTCAGTTCTTCTTGGAATAATATTTTTTTCTATACAAATATATAAATGTTTGTATGTATGTATATTTATATATTTTGCATATGCATGTGTATGTTTACATGTTTTATATATATATATATATATATATATATATATATATATATATATATATATATAAATAGTTTTAAGGTATGCTATATTTATGGGATAGAGTGATTAATATCAGAGATAGAGCGGATGTAAATATAAAAGTGAACATAGAAGTCAACACTCAGAGGCGACAGACTGTTTCATGGTTAACGCAACTATGTGGCCTGATGATTGCGTTTAACATGAAACACAGCCTGCCGCCTCAGAGTGTTGAATTCAATGTTCACTATATATATATATATATATATATATATATATATATATACCTAAGTATATGATTTGTGTATACGGAATAAATTCCAAAGACCAGCAATTAATATTCTTAAAAGAGTACTCAATACAGAGTAGAGCGAATATAATTATTCATTTATTTTTGTTATAAAATTAATCCAAAAATAGCCATTTTGTTTCAACGCCTCTCGTGTCTTATCAAATGATGTTTTTGATATATCAAATGAGAGATAAAAGCATAGAGAAAGTGAATTTCAATGCTTTGGGGCAAATTAACTTTGTGATATTGGATGGAAATAATGTTATTTTCGCTGGTGTCGTCACTTTCTATGGACTTCGAAAACCTCCATGTCAGCTTAAAAGAATTGAACGAGTTAAGACAGCTGGAGCTGATGTGAAGCTGTATGAGTTTGCTGCAGTGTAAGGTTCAAAACATCGGCTGAAAGTGAGGAATATGAAAAAAATGCAGAGAGAAAAAGGAGCTTGAAAAAAAAAGAGGGAAGAATATAAAAGCGTTAGATGTCTTGAGATTCTTGAAGATTTTACACACAAGAATTGGTTCGCTTTCAAAGTAAAGAAAGAAAAATGAAATAAATAAATATCTTAAACCATTCAAAATTTTTCTCCCATCCGCCATTTTCTTGTTTCTAAAGCATACCCACTACACATATCCTAAAATGAAATATTCGATGAGATATAACACATGACAATATCGTAAAAACATGATAAACCCTTTTTAGTAATGAATAATTCCATTGTTATTCCAACATAAGACATCACTCAGCACATACATACATACACACACACACACACAAACACATACACACACACATATATATCGTTAAAATGAAATGCATATCAAATATGGATGATTCCTATTTGTTTTTATCTTATATACAAACACGGAGATATATATATATATATATATATATATATATATATATATATATATATATATAGTTAAAGATGAAATGCATATGAAATACCGCTGATATGATGATTTCCGATTTTTTTCTTTATCTTATTATCAAAAACACACACACACACATATATATATATATATATATATATATATATATATATATATATATATATATATATATATATGTATAGTAAAAGATGAATTGCATATGAAATATGGATAATTAGATAATACGTTGATTACTTGTTATTAATCTTTATATATATATATATATATATATATATATACGAATACAGGGTTGGGATAGATGGAATAAATTTCGATAATCAAAACCAATATTTTTTTTTACAAGTGCTCAATACAAAGTAGAGCGAATTATATTTATTTATATACAATATAATATATATATATATATATATATATATATATATATATATATATATATATATATATATATATGAATACAGCTTTGGTATAGAGGAATAAATTTCGATAATCAAAACCACTATTTTTTTTTTACAAGTGGTCAATATAAAGTAGAGCGAATTATATTTATTTAAAATTATTACATAATCATGTAATAACATCACTACAAAAATAGCCATTTTGTTTCAACACTTGTGTTGACAAGTTAT